TAAACTTGTATTGAGTAGTTATTGTGTTCTCTTGTTTTCACTCTTTCCCTTACGAATTTGTACGGGAGAGAGTTTATATCGATCATTCAATAAACTTTTCCATCTATATATTTTAAGAAATCTTTAATAGTAGGTAATGCTTGTTGTAAAGGTAATTGAATAGGTGTTTGAAAAGGTGTTCCATAATTTTGTAAAGAATTATATGGTAAAAATGGATTATAAAATATAGGCGGCATATAATGCTGGCCTGGAAAAAGTGAATGCTGAATAAAATTAGGCTGCTGCATTAAATTAGAATATTGAATTAAGTTCGCTTTTTGTATTAAATTAGCTTGCTGCATTAAATTAGATTGTTGTAATGGATTAAATTGTTGTAATAGATTAGGTTGTTGTGTTGAATTAGGCTGTTGAATTAAATTAAATTGTTGTGATGAATTAGATTGTTGCATCAAATTAGATCGTTGCATTAAATTATATTGCTGTATCAAATTTGGTTGTTCTATTAAATTAAGTTGTTGTACTGAATTAAAGGGTTGAATTTGATTAAATTGTGTAGAACTAGATGGTTGAAATTGATCAAATTGCATAGAGCTAGATGGTTGAAATTGATTGAACTGCATAGAACTAGATTGCAATTGTGATGATACTTTCGCTTTTCTTAAATGTTTATATGCAAATAAAGGGTGTGTAGGTGGTTCTGTTGGTGATGCCATTGCTTTATTCTATATGATCCAAAAATTAATTATATTAATATGTATATATATTTTAAATTTTGCTTATAAATTTACTTACAATTTCAGATGCCCAAATTGAAAGCATCATAAAAGTAATTTCGACATGATTTTCTTTAGCACCATCCTTATTTAAACATGGTCTATTATGAATTATGCAATGATTTTTGGTTCGAATTTCTAAAACATTTTTCGCAATTGATGATTCAATTGAAGAAAGATTCAAAGTTTTAGGAATAGAGTTTTTGGTTTTCAAATTCGCAATAAAGTCATTATCTGAATTATTATCAGATTCAAGATCCTAAATAAAAGATATAAAGTTATTTTTATATAATATTATTTAATATAAATATAAAAATTTATACTTATATTTACTTTTCGTTTTAAACTTGAGCTAACAAACGTTATAAAGAAGGCCATATTGATATTTTTGGATCTATATTTCTGGTAATCTGATTGAAATTTTTTGAAGTCTTGAGTATCAACTAGTTGAGTACCTGCTCCAGCTGCCTTTTTGGATTTAAATACAATACGGTAATTATTTGGATCAATTGGCCTTTTTCCAATTAAAGTTTCAATATTTATATGAATTTCTGAAACTAACTCATCAACTGTAGATACTTTAGCTATATACCATTTTGCTGGAAGAGACACTCTATTTTCTGATTTGATAAAAATACCATATGTATATTCATATTCAACTTCCTCATCCGATAAAAGCTCTTCATCATCATGATCTTCATATTCTTTTCTATTTTTTTTTTATCAGATTTCTAATCAAGTTTTTCTTTAGATTCAGATATATTACTTGATAGAGTAGTAAGATCACATGTTTCTACTTCTGAAGAGTTATCATTATTTGCAAATATAGAATTCGACGTTGCTTTAAGCTTTTTTGCTTTTGAAGATAACCTTAATAAAACACTATTGCATCGAGAGCATAAAGTAAAATTGAATCAATTTTTTGGTGGACAAATTCTACTTTCTCTTTTATCCAGTTTGGATCAAATACTCGTGTAAATGCATATTTGACAGCATCTGTCTGATTTCCTTTATGTGGTACTTTAGATAAATCGCAGTCACATTTTTCTTGCTGCAAATCAATTCCACAGTACATGCATTTTCGGCAACATTATCACAAACCTGTTGAGATGGGTGATTTCGATAGAAGAATTGCACTTAGTAACTGTTATTAAAATTGAGTTGAAGTTGTAAAAGTCTGCAGAGACGGGAAACTCTAATTGGGACGCACAATGTGAAAACATAACTTGATTTAAAAACGTAAGGCTCATTCATGCATTACCAAAAACTTACAGATACGGGTAATTCTGATAGAGTATCTCAATTGCTACAAAAACGAGTAATGCTAATAGAACAAATAATGTTGGATATTATAAAAATGGAGGTTTAATTTGAGAAGACATAGCATTTATCAAACGCCCACAGATATGGTTGATTCTGATAGAATATCTGCACCTAGTAAATGTTTATAAGGTAAAAATTGAAATTGAAAATGATTTTATAAATCCACAGAGAAATGCTAATGTTAAATTTCGTATAGGTGTAAAATTCGAGTTGAAATATTAACTATCAAAATTTGCTGATATGGGCATTTACGCTTGGCAACTGTTATCAAGGTGGAGTTAAAGCTAAAAATGATCTGTCTTGACTGCAATCCTCTATCTGATAATTATTTGCTTAATCTGCTCAAATAAGTCTATTCAAATAACCATAATCTTAACCGGATATCTGTTTATTTGTAAGTTTATTTAGATAACTTTTACTTAGGTTCTATCCTAATTCCAAACAAGAAAATTTGCTTCTTCTTATTCAGATTTTCTGGGATTTAACTTAGACATTTACAAAGCAAAATATAATTAGCAAAATATATTATTTGTATTATCTCTTTCGTTGCTATTATTAAAGTAAATTTATCTTTATTTTTCAGAGTTATTATTAAGGCTAGTAAGCATTTTTTCTGCTATTTCTTTTTTTATAGCAATTGAATATCTGGATATCCAATTGCGTATAGTTTCTAGCTTAGGTATTTGTGTATGATCTAGTTCATTATTATCAGCCTTTTTGTTTAATGCACAAAGCATATCCTCTGGTTGATAACATTGACTAGAATTGGCATTTCCAGCGTGAAAATAACTTTTTAATAGATCTGCAACTTCTTTTGAAATATGTGCACCTCCTTTTTTTCCGAATTTTTGTTTTCCCTTTATAGCCCATCCTTTTGGTAATGGATATTGCTCTTCGACAATGCTAAGAAAAAGTCTATATATTAATAAAATTATATGTTTAAATAAATTTTAATAAAATTTTTTTTTACTTTGTATATTGAATTGACGGTTTTGGTAAACCAATAGAATTTTGATTTGGCGGCGACAATTCTGAATAAAAGGAATATTGTAAATTAAACTGTTAATATTTTATTTTTGCTATTAAAAATAAAGTATTATATCTTTAAATTCTGATA